CGTGACCTCCTGCCAGCGGGCTTTCGACACTTCACGTGGCCTCAAGGTGCACTTGGCCTGGCACAAGCATCGTGGTGACGTCACCGCCACTTAGTGGCGAATGGCGGTTGTTGTTGTTGTTGTGTATGAGAGTGTGTGTGTGTGAGAGTGTGAGAGTGTGTGTGTGAGGGTGCGTGTGTGTGTGAGCGGTAGTGTAGCGGTTAGCGCGCTGCGCTATGAACCTGGCGACCCGGGTTCGATTCCCGCTCACGGCTAACACCAGTGACGATTATCTGAACCGGTCCTGGGCCTCCCCTAGGTCGACTCAGGCTTAAATGAGTACCTGGTGCGGTGTGTAAACATCGCCACTGGGGAGACAAAGGCGGTCGGGCGTGGTGCTGGCCACCCACCCCCTCGTGTACCGTTCCGGCCTTCATAGGTGCTCGCTAACAGCACTTGCCCCTACAGTCTGTTAAGGCTATACGGGGGATCTTTGTCTTTATCTTTGTGTGTGTGAGAGCCAGTGTGTGTGTGAGTGCGTGTGAGTGCGTGTGTGTGCGCGGGTGTGTGATTGTGCGTGTGTGTGAGAGTGCGTGTGTGTGCACTGACACACACACTGGCTCTCGTTATCCTCTGCGCAGCCCTAAAAATAGCATTGCCACCACATTCTCTCCGCGCGCACGCCCCAATACGCGCACAGGTTCCACCCACAAGCGCAATTTCAAACAAATGTAAATCCTTGCCACCGTCGTCATTAACACTGGCTCATCGTCGTCATCATCATCATCGTCTCAGCCTTGATCTATTCACAGCTGGATGAAGGCCTCCCGAAGACTCAGCTGTCTCTACGACGACCTGTCTGACTCATGCACCTATTTAAAAACAAATGATTTATTTTATTTTAGCAGGTAAGGCCCACTTAGCTATTGTACCTATTTTTTCAGAAGCCACCTGGCTAACACAAATGATAGCTCAACGAAGTGGGCTTATCGCGTGGACATCATTCATTAGCAGCCAAATACTCCAAACGCGTCGTGATGTTGATTCTAAATGTGGAGGGAAAAACCGGAAGACCCGGAGAAAAATCCACGCCACCACGGGGGGAGAGAGAGAGACACGCAAACTCCAATTATACAGCAGGCGTCGTCAGGGTCGGAATAGAACCCACGATCTCCTGCACACCAGGCGAGGTAGTTAACATCTCATAGCCACCGTAACGATGATGAAAGAGAGAGACACGCAAACTCCAAATATACAGCAGGTGTCGTCAGGGTCGGCATGTAACCCACGATCTCCTGCACACCAGGCGAGGTAGTTAACATCTCCTAGTCTACCGTGATGATGATGATGAAGAAAGATAGAGACACGCAAACTCCACATATACAGCAGGCATCGTCAGGGTCGGCATGGAACCCACGACCTCCCGCACACCAGGCGAGGCAGTCAACATCTCCTAGCCACCGTAACGATGATGAAAGAGAGAGACACGCAAACTCCAAATATACAGCAGCAGGCATCGTCAGGGTCGGAATGGAACCCACGACCTCCTGCACACCAGGCGAGGTAGTTAACATCTCCTAGCCACCGTAACGATGATGAAAGAGAGAGACACGCAAACTCCAAATATACAGCAGGTGTCGTCAGGGTCGGCATGGAACCCACGACCTCCTGCTCACCAGGCGAGGTAGTTAACATCTCCTAGTCTACCGTGATGATGATGATGAAGAAAGAGAGAGACACGCAAACTCCAAATATACAGCAGGCATCGTCGGGGTCGGAATGTAACCCACGACCTCCTGCACACCAGGCGAGGTAGTTAACATCTCCTAGCCACCGTGACGATGCTGAAAGAGAGAGACACGCAAACTCCAAATATACAGCAGCAGGCGTCGTCAGGGTCGGCATGGAACCCACGACCTCCTGCACACCAGGCGAGGTAGTTAACATCTCCTAGCCACCAGTGGCGCGCCTCTGAGTGGATTCCATCGCTCCGCTCCTCTGCGGTTAACGCGTCGCACCCCCCCCCCCCCCACACGAGGGGCGCGTTCCTTCCTTTGACTGCCGCATAATTATTAGCCATGCAGAGCCCCTTTCACCAACCCAGTGTAAGGCATGGGTCTAGCTCTGCCCTGTTGGTCATGGCTGCTGTTTGACCATACTTCACCACGCTGGTCAGTGTGGGTTGGTAAAGGGGGTGCCCAGGACCAGCTCAGATCTCACCTTGCCACTGATTTTGGCTGTGGCCGGGAATCGATCTTACGTGGCCAATCGATGTTGTAAGGCAGTGCGACTGGTGTGGGTGGTGCGCGTTTTTTTTATTTCTATTTGAAAGATCATCCTTTTCACAAGCTGCCGCGTCATGTAATTCGCTCAACCTATTTCGTCATTCATCATCACAATCATCAGCCGTGTTCAGTCCACTGCCGGATGAAGGCCTCTCCCAAGCTCTCACGACCCTGCGATGCAATAATCCACACAGCGTCTGCGCATGAACCGATGTCTCTGACGCAATGCCTTCCAGTCTTCCATTCGTTCTAGATTTGAAGCTTTCGTGACTGCAAGGATTCATATTCTTAGGTTTTTTTCGGTAAAGTCACGTAGGTAAAACATTAAAATTAATAAAAGTAAAATAAAATACAAATCACGACGTTTCGGAGGCAACACAAGCTTCCGTCTTCAGGTGGAACCGTCACAGCCACGACAGCTGTATCAAGTAAATGGCTGTGACGGTTCCACCTGAAGACGGAAGCTTGTGTTGCCTCCGAAACGTCGTGACATTAATTTTATTTTACTTTTATTAATTTTAATGTTTTACCTACGTGACTTTACCGAAAAAACCTAAGAATATCTTCCATTCGTGTTCATGGTTTACGTGTGTAACGTCATTGTTTATTGTTATAATTTAAAACATATATATTTTTTACGCGTAATAACTTTTCCCTCCAACATTCATTGTCGCAACTGAGACAGCCGTTTGGATCTCTCCTCGACAGCGCAGCCATTTGCGGAAGTGTGCACCACAGAACTACTTCTGAGATGTCTTCAAGTAAACACTTTTCCGCACGCTATGGGGCAACACCTTCACACCCGGCCTGCTAGACAGAGAATTGTTCGTCACATGGTAAGCACAGTGCCGGATTATCCTCGTAGCAAAAGTAGCTGCACGTGTAGTAGCTGCACGTGTAGTAGCTGCATGTGTAGTAGCTGCACGTGTAGTAGCTACATGTGTAGTAGCTACATGTGTAGTAGCTACACGTGTAGTAGTAGCTGCACGTGTAGTAGCTGCATGTGTAGTAGCTACATGTGTAGTAGTAGCTACACGTGTAGTAGTAGCTACACATGTAGTAGCTGCACGTGTAGTAGCTGCATGTGTAGTAGCTGCACGTGTAGTAGCTACATGTGTAGTAGCTACATGTGTAGTAGCTACACGTGTAGTAGTAGCTGCACGTGTAGTAGCTGCATGTGTAGTAGCTACATGTGTAGTAGTAGCTACACGTGTAGTAGTAGCTACACATGTAGTAGCTGCACATGTAGTAGCTACATGTGTAGTAGCTACATGTGTAGTAGCTACACGTGTAGTAGCTACATGTGTAGTAGCTACATGTGTAGTAGCTACATGTGTAGTAGCTACATGTGTAGTAGCTACACGTGCAGCTACTACACGTGTGGTAGCTACGTGCCCCGCACTTTCAAGGGCCCCGCGCTAAATGCTTTCAAGCTATCAATTCCGGTCCAGTGATTCTGCACTTGCTCTATTACTATAGTACTATACTGCCTTCAACTTTTATGACCGACTGGGTGTTTAAGATTAGCGATTTGTCGTATCATCTGGCTGTATAGCAAATGAAAAAATACAATAACTTTACTATGCAAGTAAAAAACATATGTGTTTTCATATTTCTGTGTTTTTTTATTTTATTTAGGGCCCCTTTATAAAAAATGCGACAGACCCCGCACTAGCTTAATCCGGCACTGTGTAAGCAGATGTATTGTTTTACTCTTAGAGGTGGAATTTTACCAAATTAAGTACAGAACTAGAGTCCTCGTGTGACCATCAACTCACTTGAGAACCCACTTTAATCACAGCTGGCATGAACCTGAATTAGAACCCACGATCTCAGTGGTACAGGCTTGGTGCTCTGACCTTGATCTCTCTCTCTGCAACCCGACCAACTTCGGGGATCCGTGTGACAACAATTCACGATGGTTTTTAGAACAAATTTTATCCAGAATAAAAAATCATCAAACGGTTCATCAGCGGTGACTGGGTGGCTCAGAGGTCAGAGGTCAGAGCACTGAGCTGTTAGCCCTGAAACCCTGGGTTCAAATTCAAGCAGTCACCTGAAATCAAACTTGCTTCTCGAGTGTAGTGAGTTGAGAGCCTCAGGCCTGGCCACCAATGACTGCGTGAAAAAAAAAATGTTCAAACTAGTTTTTGTACGTAATTTGGTCAAATTCAGCTTCTAATAATTAAAAAATATATATCGTAATTGGCTTTTTACCCTTCTATCTGGCAATAAAACTGACACCTTTTTTTTGTTGCCAGATAGAAGGGTAAAAAAACAATTATCATATTTTTTACTGGCAAATGAGGTTCCCATGGTGTAAATATATATCGTTTTGACTGGCATGAGACGAACATGCCTCTCATAGGGCAGATCGGGTGGGAAAGTGCTGTGGACCAAGTGCTGTGGACCAAATGTAATTTGATGTCATCTCAGAGGTGGCTCTGTGATATCAACTTCAGTGGGCCATTCTCTAAAACGACGAGTCCCGCTACTGTGTGAGGATTCCGAACGTTACGTGTCTCTGCACGTGACGGTGATGGAAGATTTGTGACAAAATCATTGAGGGCGGAAAATATATCTAACCATAGAGATATTCCTGTTAGCCAGTGGTCACAATGGGCCAGCTTCCCTCCGATCCAGTAGCGCAAAAAAACCATGTGAATGTATTCACTGGTTTACACACACACACTCCCTCCCTCCCTCCACACCTCCCTTCTCCATTCTCTCCCCTCTATCGCCTCTCCTCTCCTCTCACCACCCAACCCTCTCTCCCTCCCTCTCTGCTCTCCCTCCTGTGTCTCCCTCTCCCCGTGTCTCTCACTCCTGCGCATGAATTGTTACCGAACGCATCTCGTCTTCACGGTAAGCTGGCTTATATTTATTTACCATGCACCACCATTAGCAGCAGTGTCATCATCATCATCAGAAGCAGCAGCGGCGGCAGCATCAGCAGCCTTACCACTGAACTACCGTTACTGCTGCTGCTGCTGCAATATTTTTGTGTCTGCACGAATGTCTACGTATTTTCTTCGCATTGTCCTGATGCAACAGTGCCTTTGATGTGAGTGGTACACGTGTAGGTACAATGCAACGCAGGTTTGCGTGTTGCGCGTGACAGTGCGGTGACTTAGCCTTAAATGAGTACCCGGTGCGTAAATGCTGACCACCGGAGAGACAAAGACGGCCGGGCGTGGTGCTTTGGCACCAACCACCTCGTGCGCCGTGCCGGCCTTTGTAGGTGCTCGCTCACAGCACTTGCCCCCAGCAGCCTGAGTAAGCTATATGGGGGATCTTTGTAACTGTGTATGTGTGTGAGAGTGATGAGCAGTTGCCGTCGTGGTTAGCGGACTGCGCCGTGAACCCGGAAACCCGAGGAGGATTTAGCGCGTGGACTCAAATCAGAGGTGGTTAGCTGAACCAGTTTTGGGCCACCTCTAGGTCGGCTCAGACTTCAATCAGCACCTGTTGCGGGGTGTATTGAACTGGGGGGGTGGGGGGTTGCCGAGGGAGACAAAGGCGGCTGCTAGGTCCAAGCGTGGTGCGAGGCATCCGTCATCCCGTGCGTCAGCCGTAATAGGTGCTCGCTAACAGCACTTGCCCCAACAGCGCGTAGAGGTTACACGGGGGAATCTCTGTATATACCTTTACACGCGTGTGTGTGGGGGGGGGGAGATGGAGGAGAATGGGACATTGCTGCAAATTGACTCTGGCAGTCTATAGCTCGCATTGGTAAGCGGTTTGAAATGACACGCGCGCGTTTGTGTTTAATATATGTCAACACAGCACGTGTTTAAATACATACCCGTATGTATATTGCAGCGGAATAATATATTCATGGACAAGTGACGTGCAAATGAAAAAAAGCACTTTGCATTCCATACCCATGGCTATATGAGTATGTGCATTATTGTACATTCGTGTGTGCGTGTGTATGCGTGATTCTGATAGGTCGACTCAGCCTCAAATGAGTACCTGGTGCGTTGTGTAAGCATTGCCACTAGGGAGACAAAGGCGGTCGGGCGTGGTGCTGGCCACCCACCCCCTCGTGTACCGTTCCGGCCTTCATTGGTGCTCGCTAACAGCACTTGCCCCTACAGTCTGTTAAGGCTATACAGGGCATCTTTGTCTTTGTGATTGTGAGTGGTTGTGTCTGTCTGTGTGGTTCTGCGTAGGGGAGCGGTGGCGCAGTGGTTAGCGGTGCACTGCGAACCCTGCGACCCGAGTTCGATTTCCACTCACGGTCACCAACACCAGTGGCGATTATTTGAACCAGCCGCACTTTTGTCTCCCACGAGGGAGACAAAGGCGGCCGGGCGCGGTGCTGACCACCCACGCCCACGTGTTGCCGTGCAAGCCTTGCACAGGTGCTACTCGCGAAACAGGCTATACGGGGGGGGGAGGGGTGGGGGGGGGAGGATTTTTGTCCTCGTGTTGCGATTGCGCCGCCGTGAATTATCTCCACGTGTCAATGGGTTTTCGTGTTCTGGCAACCGATCGTGGCAGGCTCATCTCGCGTGCCGTGTCGGGCGTGAGCGATCGGTGGCTGCGCGCAGTTCGTACAGGTGTCGTGCCCTGTGTGCGCGCGCGTGCCACGTGCCCCTGCGTTCATCTAACGAATATTGATCTCCGCATGTGTGCGCGGCGCATGTGCGCGCGTTGATGTAACCGTTTGTCGAAAGCTATTACGGAGGATCTTTGTTTTTGTTGGTGTGCGTGTGTGTGTGTAGGTCGACTCAGCCTTAAATGAGTACCTGGTGCGGTGTGTAAACATCTGCCACTGGGGAGACAAAGGCGGTCGGGCGTGGGGCTGGCCACCCACCCCCTCGTTCGTGTACCGTTCCGGCCTTCATAGGTGCTCGCTAACAGCACTTGCCCCTACAGTTTGCTAAGGCTAGACGGGGGGATCTTTATCTTTGTCGGGGACGTTGACCGCATGCACTCCGTCGTGTGCCTTGCCGGCCTTCTTTAGGTGCTCCTCGCTAACAGCACTTGCCCCTACAGTCTGTTAAGGCTATACGGGGGATCTTTATCTTTGTGGGGGACGCTGACCGCATGCACTCCGGTCGTGTGCTTTGCCGGCCTTCTTTAGGTGCTCCTCGCTAACAGCACTTGCCCCGTGATTCTGTTGAAGGCTATACGGGGGATCTTTATCTTTGTGGGGGACGCTGACCGCATGCACTCCGGTCGTGTGCTTTGCCGGCCTTCTTTAGGTGCTCCTCGCTAACAGCACTTGCCCCTACAGTTTGTTAAGGCTATACGGGGGATCTTTATCTTTGTGGGGGACGCTGACCGCATGCACTCCGGTCGTGTGCCTTGCCGGCCTTCGTAGGTGCTCCTTGCTAACAGCACTTGCCCCGTGAGTCTGTTGAAGGCTACACGGGGAGGGGGGGGGATCTGAGTATGAACCCTGCCTGCTGTGCGCATTGTGTGCGCGCGAGTGCGTACGGAGTGCAAACAGAAGTGCGCCTGGCAGATGCTCGGTTGTGTACCGCCACCTGTTTTTTTGTGCTGCTACGGAGCGTGCATCGGTGTATCCTGTGTAGCGAAGTGCACAGCACATTCAGGGGTACAACTCTACCCGCTTGCTCTGTCGCGCTGGGGTGCACGCAACGCCCTGGGGGTGCGAGACACGGCCAGATTGATTCGGAAGGTAAATAATCGAAAAGAGAAATTAAGCACGGACACGTAAGTACGACTACACTTTGTTTTTTATCAAACGCCCTACGTATTTATTAACATTGCACATTTTTTAACGAGTGAGAGCCAAAAGGGTGCAAGGCTGCAGTAAAGGTTAAGAGCCACTGTACTACACTACACTATACACTACACTACTATACACTACACTATACAGTACGCTATACACTACACTACTATACACTACACTACACACTACACTATACACTGCACTATACACTACACTACTATACACTACACTACTATACACCACACTATAAACTACACTACAATACACTACACTATACACTACTATACACTACACTATAAACTACACTAAAATACACTACACTATACACTACACTACTATACACTACACTATACACTACACTATACACTACACTACGCACTACACTACACACTACACTATACACCACACTACTATACACTACACACTACACTATGCACTACACTATACACTACACTACACACTACACTATACACTACACTATACACTACACTACACACTACACTATACACTACACTACTATACACTACACTATACACTACACACTACACTATACACTCCACTATACACTACACTATACACTACACTATACACTACGCTATCCACTAAACCAGTGGTTCTTAACCCTGGATGCACGCACGCCCTGGGAGTGCGAGATGCCCTTTCTGGGGGTGCGAGACACGGTCTGGTTCTCTTGGAAGGTAAATAATCGGAAACACAAATTAAGCCCCGACACGTAAGTACGACTACACTTTGTTTCATCAAACCCCCTACGTATTATTAACATTGCACATTTTTAAAAGAGTAAGAATCAAAGAGGTTGCAGGCCGTAGTACAGGTGAAGAACCATTGCTCTATGGCGAGAGTGGACGGTCCTTAAACCCGGGGTCCTATACGGCGGAGTGAGACGACAATAATCGGTAATGGTTCAGCCCCGGCATCGCCGTTAAGAGCTTGGAGGAAATGCAGTGGGTAGATCGTGGATGATGATTATGATGATGGTGGTGGTGGCGATGCTGGATGTGTTTTTTTTTATCTGGTTACGGACATACAGCTCACGACCTAATCTTGATTTGAAGCTTTCGTGACTGCAGAGAATCCATCCACTTTGGTTCTTTCGGTAAAGTCACGTAGGTAGAAAATAAAATAAATCACGACGTTTCGATCGCAACACAAGCCATCGTCATCAGGTGAGACAACCACAGCAAGAAAAAATAAGTGGACCCCTTGTTGCTGCAGGGTCCACTTTCTGCCCTGCCTCCTCCCCGCCTTCTCTCTCCCCCCCCCCCTACTACCGATGCTTATATAACCTCGTGCCACGGCAGATCTTTTGCCTACTTCAGCAGTTTTTTTTCTTGCTATGGTTGTCCCACCTGAAGACGATTGCTTGTGTTGCGATCGAAACGTCGTGATCCGTTTTTTTTCTACCCACGTGACTTTACCGAAAGAACCAAAGAGTTTCAATCTAGATTTGAAGCTTTCGTGACTGCAGGGATCCATACTCTTTGGTTGTTTCGGTAAAGTCACGTAGGTAGAAAATAAAATAAATCACGACGTTTCGGGCGCAACACAATCCAATGGGAAAGCTTTCCCACCTGATGATGGACGCTTGTGTTGCGCCCGAAACGTCGTGATTTATTTTATTTTAACCAACGAGTATGCTTATTCAAACTCTCTCTTTCTGTCTCTCTTTCTCCTGGCACGGAAGGGTCACTCCGTGGTTTTTTGGACAATCCTTCCCCCACTTGGGAGGACCCAGCGCTCCACCCCACCGCACCGCACACAATCTCACCTGCCCATCATTGACACAGTGAAATTAAATCCAGGTGCTCGATACGCAGTGGTGTGAGTGTGCTTTACTATTGAACCGTTAGGGCCATCACTGATATCAGTCGCCTAAATGCGGTGTTCTTTATTAAATCCAAGCAAGCAAGTTCGCTTGCTTGCTTGCGCGCTTACGACCGTGCAAATCTTTTGGTCGTTTTTTAACCCACTTCCCGTGATCCAATCGAGCTGACATTTTGCACACAGACTCGTTGTGCGTGACAATTTATTTTCGTGAAATTATTTTTTTGCAAAATTTTCCACTTTTGAGGATTTTTTAAAAAATATTTAATTACCAATTGCTTAATGGTGGCAGGCAATCATCTGACCCATAGGT